CCTCCCAAGTAGCTGGGACCACAGGTGCCTGCGACAACGCCCGGCTATTTTTTGGTTGCAGCCATCATTGTTGTTTGGCGGGTCCGGGCTGGGGATTCGAACCCGCCACCTTAGGTGTGCGTGGCTGGCGCCTTAGCCGGTTGAGCTATAGGCCGAGCCGGGACCCTGGAATTAAAGTCACATCTGTCTGACTTCATAGCCTGTGTTAGCACTAGGCCATCCTTCCTCTACAGAAAAATGCCCATGAGATATGCACCATAAGTGAAAAAAAAAGCAAGACACAGATATATTCCCATAATGCCTACTTTTGTTGTAAAAAAAATAAGTAGAAGGACACGTTCCCAAAGTATGGTAGATTATCTTCAGGTGATGGAATTTTGAGTTATTTTTATAATACATTTTGTGAGTGTATATTTATTTATTATTTTTATTTTGAGACAATTTCACTCTGTTGCCCAGGTGCGATGCTCCTAAATAGCTGGGACTACAGGTGCCTGCCACCATTCGGGGCTAATTTTTCTATTTTTTAGTAGAGACAAGGTCCCTCTTTTTTTCAGGCTGGTGTCCAACTCCTGAGCTCAAGGAATCCACCTCCCAGAGTGCTAGTATTACAGACCTGAGCCACCGCGTCTGGCCCATTTTGTATATTTTCTGCGGTTTTTATTTTTTGAGAAAAGTTTCGTAAAATATCCAAGGTGATATTTGATGAAGCAGCCTGTCGGTCCACAGTTCCCTGAGGGTTCTGACCCAGCCCCGCAGAGAAAGGCAGTCAGGAAGGAGTGGCGTTGTGTCCCGCCCTTACCCACCCTGCTATCCCGTCCCGCCCCCCGCGCACCTGCACAGCGGGTCGGAAAGGCAGAGGTTCCGCAGGTCCAGGCAGCTGGTGGCTACAGACGGCAGTGCGCAGCTGGGGGCGATGGTGTTTTTCCGGCGCTCCCCGCAACCACGGTCAGTGGGCGCGCATGGGCACAACAGCATTCCTTGCGCGTGGGGCTCTGCCGCCTTCTCGAAGAAGGCGAGCAGCTGCCTAAGGCAGGCTTGGCGCTGGCAGCGGGCCCCAGAGCACGCCTCCCCATAGGCTTTGCGCAGCCGCTCACACTTTTCATTAAGAGTACACAGAGTAGTGAACTTGAGGCAGAGATCCGAGTCTGCAGGGAAAAGGGCACCAAGTCACTAGGTCGCCTCCTCCACATGCCTGCAGCCCAGGCTCCTTAGGAACCTCGAAAAACCCCTGATTTGACAAGGAAGTTGGTAGGGGTAGGAGAAAAAGGAGGACTGTCCTGAATATAACCACTCCTAATCCAAGGCTTTCCCTCTATTCAGAAACTATCTGGTATTCCGAAGCTTTCTCCATCCTACTCCTCATCTTCACTAAGTATATCATCTGTATACATCTAACAACCATTTGTCTGGAACTCAAGCAGCCAGGAAACTCAGATAATCACAACCTCAATGAGATCTGATGGTGGAAATCATGACCTAGAAGCCCTGCAACATTCTAAAGCACTTAGTGAATTAGGATTTGAAATGAGGACTGAATGTCCAAAAGAGATGTAACCAAATTCTATTCAAGCTTCTAGTGTGGCTGGCACCTGTGTATCTATTCATTTTTAATGTCACCTACCCTTCTTTCATTTACTGATTCATGCACACTTTGTTCTTCATATTCTGAGTTTGAGGAAATTATGGGATTATTTCTATTAACAGAATGTTCCAGCAGCCAGGCAATCAACTAGAATAGGTGATTCACTGATTCCTTGTAACTAAGAGTTTGTTGTATAAATCTCAATCTTTTTTCTCAAAATACTAACTCTAATATATAGAAATGACTACACAACAAAGCTCATATCTTTTTCAAAAGAGTGCAAGTGTGTGCAGTCTCAATTAAGTCATAGCCTCATTTTCCTGAAAGACATTCATCACAGTCCTTGCCAGACTGATGGCTCCCCACCCTGAGTCACCCCTGTGTGGAGTCACATTCTCTCTCACTATTTTTCCTACCCAATACCTCGCCCATCCCATTAGAATGGTTGAAAACAAGCAATTTCCCAGTCTTCAGGGACAAAAAGACTACTTTTCTAGCTGCCTTGAATGCGGGTAAATACTCCATTTCAGTACATTTTTATCTGAGGCTGTTGCCACTCCCACCATACCCTTTGTAGGGACCCGCCTTTTGAAAGCAGGGAGCTCTAATGGGCTCTCTTCAAATGCCTCCCTAATAACTGCTGTTCTCAGATGATGACTCCTATGAGACAGGACCACGTACCACAGCTCAGTCTTCCACCCTGACAGTCTTCTTTAGTCACCTCGCAGGCTAGAAACTCTTCCCCTGTAAGCCTTCCACCTTGTGTTTCCCCCTAGCCACCTTTCCCTTGGGGTCCAGGCCCAGTCCCCCAACCCCCAGCCTCAGCTCGCCCTCCACACCTGGTTTGAGCATGTTCAGTTTGTTGAGATTGATTTTCCAAGGTTTGCTGGTCACTGTGTCTTCATAGGGGGAGATGTCCAGCTCATAGTCACCTAGAGATAAGGTGGGAAGCACCAGAATGCTGAGAGCCAGGGTGGAGTGGCAATAGGAAGGGCTGAAGTTGCTGGGTCAGACCTCAAAGTCCTATGGAGAAAAGAAAAAGGCACAGCCTCTACCAAACTAGCTGCCAGCTGTGCAGAGATGAGAGAAATGCAGGGTCATAAAGGTGTAGGTTGGGCTCCACAAATAAGCTGGTAAGAAAAATGAAAGCTACCATTTGTTGAGCATATTGTGTGCTAGGCATTATGGTATAAGTGACATATATATACAATCTCATTTCATCCTCCTAAAAACCTTCTGTAGGTAAGAAGAAACAGAGGATGACAAAGGTTAAGTATCTTGCTCAGGCTCAATTAAGCTAAGAAGCAGAACTGGGATTTGAAATGAGGACTGATTTTGGAGTCTGCTTCTAACTGCTGGACATAAGACCTGTGGGTACAAAATCAGGCAAGGGGACTCTGACTTGTTTTCTCTTGCTATTAGGAAAGGGACAGTGGTGGACTCCCTGTTCGGGCCCAGCTGCTTGGCTGTGGAGATGCATGGCATACCGACGAAATGGAAGTGAGGCCAGGTACTGAATTGAACCTGATTGAGAAAAACAGAAGAAAAAGACACAATGATCCTGAAGCAAAAACATTCCACTCAGTCACCCCCATGGGGCTCTATACTGCTTAAAGGTACTTACTAGGTCTTATAAAATAGTTGTATATGGCCAGATGCAGTGATTCACACCTGTAATCCTAGCTCTCTGATAGGCGGGTGGAGTGCCTGAGTTCACAGGTTCAAGACCAGCCTGAGCCAGAGTAAGATCTCATCTCTAAAAATAGCCGTACATTGTGAAGGGTGCCTGTAGTCCCAGCTACTTGGGAGGCTGAGGCAAGAGAATCGCTTGAGCCCAAGACTTTGAGGTTGTTGTGAGCTATGACACCATGACACTCTACCAAGGGTGATAAAGTGAGACTGTCTCAAAAAAAAAAAAAAATAGCTGTATAGGCTGGGTGAGGTGGCTCACGCCTGTAATCCTAGCACTCTGGAAAGTGGATTGCTTGAGCTGAGGAGTTTAAGAGCAGCCTGAGAAAGAGTGAGACCCTGTCTTTACTAAAAATAGAAAAAAACTAGCAGTCATCGTGGGCACCTGTAGTCCTACCTACTTGGGAGGCTGAGGCAAGAGGAGCTCTTGAGCCCAAAAGCTTGAGGTTGCTATAAGCAATGATGATGTGATGGCACTCTACCCAGGGCGGCAGAAACCCAGGGTGACAGCAAGAGACTGTCTCAAAAAGAAA